CCGCCTCCATGCCTCTTCCCTGTGGAGTTCACTGGCCAGGAACTCCGCAATCCTGAGGAAGGGTACAAGGGTGTAATAGAGGCGGGGTTCCGACTAGATAATAATCTAGTAGCAGAGGAAGCTCTCCGCTCCAGAGAAGTGTGTAGCCATCAGCTACAGCCAGCATCAGAGAAGTCTGTGTACCTGCTGTCTCCAGAGAGGAGCGGCCAGGCCCGCCAGCAGCTAGCCAGCGGGACCAGAACCAGGGCGGGAGAGTGCGGGCACACCTAACCCCGGGCCACATCCAGAGCGAGTGCACCCGGGAGCCCAGGCACGCTCCCCACATTTCTTGCGGCCAGACTCATGCCGGGACTAGCCAGGTGTGGCGGAGACCCCAGGGTGCCCGCACACACCACGCCGGGGGTCTAGCGACCCGCCCCATAGTGGAGCAATAAAGCCATTGGAACTTCACCCTTGGAAGTCACGGATCTGGTCCGACAGGTGCAGAGAGTTGTCTGAAGAGTCGCATGACGTCACTTCCTAGCACTTGGCCCCTTCTGCACACAGCTCATCCCCTTCCCAATGTTCTGCCATGTCATCCTGCTGAGAGAACCCTGTGACTAGACAGGACGGTCTGATTTTGGCCTTTCAGCCTCTAAAACTGAGCTCTCTGCTTTATAAGTAGGCAGCCTGGGGCATTTTGTTACAGTAACAGAACATGGATAAACACACCTTCATGGTTTTCTATTTTTTCCAGATTGGAGGGAAATGCTTGCTAAAGGGCTTCCTAAAGGGGCGAGAATATCCGAACACTCCTGAAAACTGATGCTTCAGGACCCTCAGCACAGCTTGTAAAGCAGGGGTTATTAAGACAAAGGGGTCAGGACATACACAAGGATTACAGGGACAGAGCAGAAAACCCAGGAAGAGCATACCTCGGGGTTCCTGAGCACACTATGGACCAACACCATCTACAGTGAGAACACAATATAAAAAAGAAATGGGATCTTACCACATACAGTGCTCAAAAATCCACCTCCAGAAAGAGTAAGGACTTAAACATTGAGCGCAAAACGTTAAAACATTCAGGGGAAAAATATTGGAGATTAGATTTGTGTCTTGGGATTAGAAAGTATTTTTTAAAGAAATGCCCAACCCATGGAGGGAAAGCTTAATGCTTAATGTTTGAGTATATTGAAATTTAAAACATCAAGAGCTACCAGAAGTTGGGGCTGGAGAGATGGCTCAGTGGTTAAGAGCACTGGCTACTCTTCTAGAGGAGCTGGGTTCAGTTCCCAGCATCCACATGGTGGCTAACAACCATCTGTAACTCTAGTTCCAGGGACTCTGACGCCATCTTCTGGCAGTTGCAGGCATTGTACACATGGTGTACTTACATACATGTGGGCAAGTACTCATACATGCAGCATAAAAATAAATAAATAATGTTTTTAAAGAGGAGACAGCAGAGGAGAAGAGGGCTGGATCCTACGTCCGTATTTACACCTTAATCAAAGCAGGCACCGCCAGCCCTTCTCATTGCACCACTGTCCCCCGCTTACTTCACATAGGAACAGCAGGGTTCTGAGACGCCCCTGATTTTCTGAGCCCCCCCCCACCCCCACTGGCCATGGAGGTAGGGAGCAGTGAGTCCTATGAGTGGGTCCTTCCCCCAAATCCTGTGGTCTCTGTCTCTGCTAGGCAAGCTCAAGAAAGGCCATGCTAAGTGATCAAAAGTTAGCAAAAGCGAGGCCAAGTGGGGGGGCAATGAAGGCACAACAGGAACACAGGGACACACACAGGGACACAGGGACACACACAGGGACACAGGGACACAGGGACACAGGCACACAGGCCTGAGGACTCTCCTGGGATGTTTGGACGCGACACAGCAGGGCTCTTAGTTCCTCTAACAGACGCAGCAATAACAAAACAAAAACGAAGCACAAAGCCCTCCTGGGACTGTAGTGGCCAGTGGCCAATAGGGACCGACACCTGCAACCCACCGTAACTGTCTAGGGCCTTGATCTAGTTGATACTCTCTGACAATGAAAGAATTAAAAGGCAGGAAAACTCAAAAACAGATAACAAACTTCATTAAAAGTAAAGGAACTCACATATACTCATACTCATACTGAGAAAAACCCTTCACAGTGAAGAGGGGATTCAGAAAACAAAAAATGCAAAGCCCCTGGGGAGGCCTAGGTCTTTTATGCATTCTTGGTGATTCGGGCAGGTCCCCCTTCCCTAATGTTGGATTGATCAGTTTAAACAAAGACAGAGTCGATAGTCCATAGCTCCAAGCTGAGACAGGTCCAGGGCCCATCTCACCAGGTCAACTGAAGCGGCTCTGTCAGAGTTAAAAACTAGTCCTTCTTGCTGGAGTTAATAAAGCCTGCCAATCTCACTGACCATCATCCTGTCCAGTACCTGCAGCCTCTTGTTTGATCTCTCTTCCTGTCAGTGTGTTTACCTTCCTTCCCTCATCACCCCTGAGAGTGACTGCTTAGCATCATGTCATAAAGGACCGAGAGGTAAGCCAGGTCAGCCACTTAACAAGACAACGGTGTTATAAATCAGATAAAGAAACAGAGGTTCTCTCTCTCTCTCTCTCTCTCTCTCTCTCTCTCTCTCTCTCTCCTCACATATCAGGCACACTGTGGATAAAACACCAGCAGCATACAACTTGCAAGGTATACTTTATTCACTCTAGACATCAGGAGGCCCCGAGTAGGGGCTGGGCTGCTGGGGTGCAGGGGATAGAAGGTGCCTCCCTTTGGAGTCTCTCAGCTCTGGCTGGAGGGGTGGAAGGCACCTGGCTGGTGCCACTGCGTGTCCCAGGTGCACAGACTGCACCTGGGGGTGAGGGGCCCCAAAGTTGCTGCTGTCCTCGTAGTCCCCCTTCTCTAGCAGGTACTGCAGGCCGCGGTAGCCGGGGTACTGATAGCCAACCCACCTGCAGGGCAGAGGTAGGGGAAGAGAAGAGAGGCAGAAGGAGAAAGGCAGGTTGGGAGAGGAAAAAGGGAAGACCCTTCCTGGTGCTGACAGGTTGCCACTTTCTACCTCACCCTTCCATCACTGGACCAGCGCTTTCTTTCTCTCTTGAGAAACTCACTAACTCCTGATGCGAGACCTGACACTCCGCAGTTCTGAGCAGTGCAGGCTTCTCCTCTGTCTATCCCCTGAGCCAGCGTGCACGGCCAAGCTGCTCTCTTGGAGGGAAACATCACCATAATTTATAGCATCCACAAATTTCTGTGGTGTAAACACCCAGGAGGGCTGATAGCAAACTGCCACTAGCCACTGAGTCCAAATCCACAAAGCCTAATCCTGATCTCTGCCCTTTGACTCCTGGAAAGAATTCTAGGCCCATAGGGCTCAGGGGCCGGTAGTGGCATGAGGGCAGAACTCTGCAAGAGGCATGAAGATTAACCTGTGGGAGAGGCTGGTCTGCAGAGGACTGGAAACCTAACCACAGGCTTGCTGGAACAGAAGGAAGCAAGAAGCACAAAAGCCAGACTCCTGCCTGGGGCAGAAGGCAGAGATATGCAAATAAACTAGGAAGAACCAGAGTCCCTTTTTGTTTGTTTTTGGTTTTATTTTTATTTTTGAGAAAAGATCTCCTGGTAACCACAGCTGGCCTGGAACTCACTATGTAGAGCAGGCTGTCCTCAATCTCACAGAAATCTGACTGCCTCTGCCTCTCAGGATTGAAGGTATGCATTTCCAAGCCCTGCCTGGCCTGAGGCTTTTGCCCCAACATCCAGCCCACTTCCATCCTTTCATAATAAACTGTCTCGATTTCTACAGCTAAAAGAAAAAGTGGATCCTTGGGTGTCCTGGGCCTTGGGTATACCTGTGGATACATATCTAACTCAGAGGCTCCAGTCCCAAAGGGAAATGTCTCATTGTAGAATACGCATAGAACTTTAGAAATTACATACACTGGTCTCTGTATTTTTAACCATCTCTACATGACTTGTATGTGTGTGTGCGTGTCTATGGGTCTATCTGGGTGTATTCATACATGAGGGCCATGCCTGTATGCTCACAGAGACCAGAGGAGAATGCTAGTGTCCTGTCGCACCCTTATTCCCTTGAGACAGGGTCTCTGATTGAACCCTCAGCTAAGCTGGCAGACAGCAAGCCCCCAGTGGCCCTCCTGCCCCTCCCAACAGTGCTGGGGTTACACACGTGTGCAGCTATGTCTGGTTTTTCACCAGTGCTGGGGATTCAAACTCAAGTCCTCATACTTAAGCAACAAGTGCTCTTACCCACTAAGTCCTCCCCTCAGCCCTCTAAATGGCCTCTTATTAGAACCACACCACCACCGAAGCCGTTCTTACACTGTATTGTTTAGGGAGAAATGTCTGTTTATGTTTAGTACAGGGACTGTTTTTCTCCTGAATTTTCCACCTTCAGTTTGTTAGCACTCAGATGCAGGGCTGAGGGTGCAGACCCCAACTGTATACACCACCCCCAGTCTGCATTGCTATCCCAGGGACCCCCAGGTGTCAGGCGTGGTTCACAGTGAAAGCTGCCCCCCAACACACAGGCAGTGGAATTCTTTGCATCTGTTTGCAATGAAGGCCTCAGAGCTAGACCGCCCACCATTGAGCTACGCCCCCCCACATCCCATTGCTATGTCCACCTACCCTGTTGATACACCACTCTGTTCTTTGAGGCTCACTAAGGCCACAGGTTCCTGCCCCAAAGGTGGGGTATGATCCCAAAACAGCTCAGGACAGAACTTACGGGCAGATGGTTCAGATCCATCTTCCAATGGTCAGTGGAGGATAGCACGATGACCCCTCCCACCCCCAGTGAACTCAAGCAGGACAGGTCAGCTTCCAGGAGGCTGAACCTGGACACACTTATGCGCCACTCTGTACCCGCACAGATGACACCTTCTCTTGGTAGCCATGGGCATGGAAGCTAGGCACATCATCATCTGTGATCTCCATCTTCTTTCCTGTGAAGTTGGGGTTTTCATACAGGAGGATCTTGTGTTCTTGACTGTCCTATGGGTAGAGGGGGATGAGAGAGGCCCCAGGAGGCCCTTCCCAGCCCATCCCATGTTCCACCTACCTCTGCCCAGTTCACCCACCACACAGGGGACAAGTGCCCTTGGACTCTGGTCATTGACTGTTTACTGCCGTGGGACAGACACTCCCAGATCCTATGCTTGGGGATATTTGATCCTGAAACCCCATAGCCTCCACTTGCCGTTTCATAAGCAGCAGCAGGGATCACCTGCTGCCTGCACATAGACACAGCATGCAGGCTTCCAGTGGCTGCCCAGACACCAGGTCTCTCATCACCTCCTCGCTGTCTCCTCCTGTCACTACGATGTGTTTTTGTTATCATTTCATCCATTCAGCAGCTCTTATGCCACGTGACACATGAGAAAACCAAGACTCAATGAGGTCAGGTGACTTGCACAAGGTCGCACAGCTGAGAGGAGCTGAGTCAACACAGGAGCCCAGACGGTCAGGTCTAACCTTCCATAGAGCTCTGGGAGGTACTGGTCTGGCATTGGAATGTTCAGGAACATAACTCAGCACTACTGAACCCTTTTCCCTCCCCATCAGTTCATACACTAGTAAGAATCAAGACCAGAAAAACTTCAGATGTTAAACCACCCTCTCCTCCACCCCTAACACAGTATTTTTTTATACTCATGAGTATTAACTTGGCCTAGGCAGCACCATTTATACATGGTGCCCCCTGGAGTTGTGCAAGGCACACTGAAGACAGTAGGTGCTAAAATCCCCATTTTACAGATGAGCAAACACAGGCTCAAGGAGGCTGGATGCCCTTGGCCATGCCCCAAAGTGGAGCTTCCTGGCCAATTTGAAGAGTGCAATAGGGACAAGTAGGCTCGTTCTGGGCCCCTCTGGCTCTGTGGTGGTGGGGAGGGCTGGGCAGGGGCTCACCACTTTGATGGGCCTCAGCGAGCTGAGTGAGTCGGTCCTCCGGCTGCTGGTCCAGGAGTCCCAGCGAGGGTACTCGCCCTTCTCAAACACAAACTGCTCACCCTTGCAGTTGGCCTGCTCATAGCCCACCCAGCTGGAAGATACAGAAAGGACGCAAGTCAGTCATCTCCAGGCATCCAATGGCAGGGCCCTGGCCACTGAGACCCTGCCTTGGCCCAGCAAGGGGCAGCAGCCGCATGGAAACCCCAACATACACCAAGTGTACGGTCACCTTGGTTATCCAGAACCCAGCCCACGCTCTCCTCAACCATTGGGCACAATCAAGAATTAAAGCACAAGTCTGCAAGATGGCCCAGTGACAGATTCCAGTGCATGCATCCTAAGGCCAATGGGATGCTGGGAAATTAACAGCCTACTCTCTGAATCCAAAACAACTAGAAGCCCGAGGACCCTGAGTGTCACACTGGCCAGTATCCACAGAGTAGATGGCCTGGCATGGAGCCTGCAAGCTGACAGGGTGGTGTCAGCAGGTGTGGGGTGGGGAGCTGAACACCATTGCTGGCATCCGAGCAAGGATCTCTAGGCTACCCGGAGCACAGCTCATTCATACCAGGTTTCCAGAATCAGTTCCTCTTATTCTTAGTCTCTCTATTCAGGTTTTCCACAGACTACTGACCTCCTAGATCCCTGGTGGAGACATGAACAGTCGTCCCTCTGTGCAGGTGAGTACTAAAATCTGAAGGGGCTTAAATCACCTCTTCTAGGGCATTTGTCAGGCGTGCACAGCCTCCTGAGCATTCTAAATCACCTCCAAGTGGTTGCCATGTCCATGACACGCAAATGGCCATCACACCACACTCTTTAGGAAAGAGCCATAAGGAAAGGGAAAGGCTCACTGCGGATGCAGTCCCCACCCACAGATATCCATCACTAACTGTTTGATGTCAGGGATTTGAAACTTGTACATATGGCAGGGCTGACTGGTCTGTGAGGCTCTCTTAGGAGGATGGGGCTCAGAGAGGAAAGGAAATAAATACCAAAGGACAGATGTGAATGTCCAGCTCCCTGGGTCTGGGGCACACCCACTCTGTGATAAAATGATGAGAACGGCCATTCAGAGTATGACCTAAGTCCTAATACTAACTCCTGAGTACTAATAAAAGATGCGGCTATGCTGCCATCTCTTTTAAAGAGAGACTCACACTAGGTCCAGCATTTCTGCTTTAGGCAACATGTCCTTGGAGAGTAACAGGCAGAGTGCACAGAGGGACGTTCATCATGGCATTGTTTATAACACGCTGCAGCGAGAGAGCTTGAAGTTCCAGCAGGCACAGAGCAGATGACTAATTAGGGAATGCCCAGTCATGGAATATTACAAAGCCATGATAAATAATGACACAGGATATGGGTTTTTCCCCTGTAATCCCAGAGCTCAGGGAGATCCTGAGTTCAAAACCCACCTGGGCTAAGTAGTGAGACCCTCAAAAAAAAAAAACAATAAAAAAACAGAAAACAATTTAAAAAGTTAGCTTTAAAAATCAAGATTTATGGGGACTGGACTGGACTCAGCAGTTAACAGTGCTGACTGCCCTTGCAGAGGACCCAGGTTCGATTCCCAGCACCCACAAGGTGGCTGACAACCATCGGTAACTCCAGTTCCAGGGAAATCTGACACCCTCTTCTGACCCCGACTGGCACTGCATGACATAGGTGCACTTACATACATGTAGGCAATGCACTCATACACATAAAGTAAAAAGTAATAAGTAAGCTGGGCATGGTGGCACATATTTTAATCCCAGCACTTAGGAGGCAGAAGCAGGCCTCAAACTGTGAGTTTGAGGCCAGCCTAACATAGGCCAGTTAGAGCATAGTGAGTTCCAGGCCAACTGTAGCTACAGGGAGACCCTGTCTCATAATAATAATAATAATAATAAATTAATTAATAAATAAATAAAACATTTTTTTAAAACAAGACATATTCTGAGAAAGAATGTAAGAATGTTAAGGTCTATAAAATGTTTTGGAAGACTGAGGGTGTAGCTCAGTGGTAGAGGCTTGCCACCCTGGGTAACACACACACACACACACACACACACACAATGCTAATCAAACACAAAATCTTGTTTCAAAGATTAAAAATATGTTTGGGAAATTCTTCCGACAAAATGGTAAAAGATGAAATCAGACATGGCACTCAAAGCACTGAGACTCCAGTTCTGCCAAGGCACGGCTGGATCCCCGAGTGACTGATAACAGAGTCTAGGCAGGGCCGTAGGACTCAGACGTGCATAGGCCACTCCACTCAGCAAATTTCCCTAAGCGCCTGCTGGGCTAGGACAGATCGCCCCAGACTCCCAGCCATCCTAGACTCAAGTCATTGGAGTCACTGGTGACCCTAAACTCACAAGGCACTTATGAAGGAGTAGTGAGGGAGAGGAGGGACTCTCACCTCCCATGCTTTGTGCCTCTGGCTCTCACGGGTTCAGCCCCATGGTGAGGGGAGAGTCAACTGCAGTAACCATGTCCCTTCTCTCTTGAGTAGAGACCCGGCCCCCAGGTGCCAGAGAAGGTGTCAAGATCCAGGATCGGTGAGGCTTGGAACGGGGAGCTATAAGCCTCTCCAAACAGCTGGGACGGACAGCCAGAGATGGACAGTTCTAGAAAAGTACATGACCCTGCCTTGAGGAAGTAGCTGACCTCTAGATCAGGTCTCCTAAGCGCTCACCTTTGACCCTCAAAGGACATAGGTGCCCTAGCCTATGGAAAGGAAACTGAAGCTCAGAGAGAGAAGGCCCAGGTCAGATGTCACCTAGGAGTGGCCAAACTGGGATTCGAACTCAGCTCTTTCTGTCTCCTAAGCACAAATTGTCTTGGGCTGCCAGACCCTGAATCCTGGCCCCTAACTGCACAGTCTAAGGAACACAGAGAGGTCAGGTATTCCCAATTTGGCAGCCTAATTCCCTGGGGCTGACAGCCCCAGGCCAAGTGAGACCACCCTGATACATATGGTCCAGCCTGCACCAGGACGGAGGCTGCCTTCTCCACACCCATCTCCTTCAGGTTGGGGCAGGGCCCACTGAGCTCATGGGAGTGGCCCTGGAAGTTCTCCTGCTCAAAGATGATGACCTAAAACAAAGAGAGAAAGCCTGACCATAGGCAGGAAGGGAGGAGAGCAGGAGAGCCGCCGGCTCAGAGAACCCTGAGCTGCCGACGTCGGCCCTCAGGTCAGGAGCAGGCATAAAGCAGCAATCCAAAGACCCAGCCTGAGACCTTGAACCTACAACCCTGCTCTCTGAGGTCAGTCTCCCTCTCAGTAAAGTGGGGGCGGAGTCAGCTTTGGGGGACTGTAGGGATTGTGGGTGTGATGGTCAGTATAGTGTTTGCTCTGCACATGGAAGATGTCCTGATGTCCTTTTTGTATGATGTCTCCATGGTGTTGGGGACCCAGAGCTGCTCACCAGCTGGACAGGGGACCTCTTGCTGAGCGACATCCCAGCCCTCAATAAGTCAGCTAAGGCACTAGCTGTAGAGCCCAGCAGAAGTGGCTGGACCAGGACATCAGAAGGTGCAAGGCGGCCCTCAGACCTGGACCAGCACCTCCACAGACACCCTTCTCTCTGTGTCACATGATCCTGGGCCTCTTCTCTAAGTCTCCACCCTTGGGGATCTCCAGTTCCCTGTGGCTTCCTACTCTCTCCCCTAGGCCCAAGCTTCCCTAGGCCTGAGCTCCCCAGGCAGGCTCCTGTCAGAGAACTTGAGGTTCTGCAGAGTGAAGGAACCCACCAAGGCCTTGGAGCCATGTGCTAAGCATGACCAGAAGGCACATTCAGTACAGCAGTGCAGACAGGAAGTCAAGCCTTTCTGGGAAAGAAGTGGACTGGAGTGGAGGGTGAAGGTGGGGCAAGGGTGAAGATGGAGGGCAAGGAGGTAGGAGACAGGGAAGTGGGGGACAGGGAGGTGGGGACAGGGAGGCGGGGGGCAGAGAGTTGG